GCTGCTTCTCCAATAATGTAACATTTTGAAGTAAGAGCAAAGAATAGTGGGCTCTATGTCAAAATAATTGGTTTGAATTGAGTGACAAGTCTTTCTGTGTTCTTTTACCTTTTGAGCAAGCACATTAAAAATCTGACTGGTCATGCCTTTCTTTTTAGAAGCAGGGTTTCTTCCCATATCATTAACATGTTGTCATCCTCATTTGCCTCTGGATGTTAAATCGCCATAGTGGATTTTAATGTACATTGTACTGCAAAAATACAATTGTTATTGTTCTCTGTGTAGTTAAATCACTGAGACCTTTAAATTTCTTCTAAGAGAAATCTATCACTCATTGATTAATTTACCAGAGTAAAAAAAATATCATCTAAATAGATGAAAATACATGTTTCAACTCAAAAAAATTGCATTTGATGTTGTATTTATTCAATAACAATAATATTTTTTCAATCTATTCAATATAAACAATTAAACACAGATTTAATCATAAAAAGTTGATTTCTGACAATATTTTTAGCATTGTTCCTATTGAAATTTGCATTTTTTTTGTTTTTTGTTACAGAATACATTTAAGAATTTAAACATCGTCATTTTCCAGTTTGAATTTGTCAAACACTGATAATGTTTGGTTAAGGTCTAGCTAACTTGATTAACAAAAATATACGTTTGTACATGATGTACATTGTGGTAAAATAAAATTACATTACATAGTTTATAATTTAAATACTTCAATCTCATTTAATTTACAAAATGTTTATTAAAAAAAAAAAAATTGACAGAGTAAATAATATAAATTTTAAAATATTGTTTACATGCTCCATCTGTTGCATTGAAATTGTTACACATTAGACTATATTGTAGATTTATGCTGCATATTTGAAAATCCTTCTAATGAGAATGTTTTGCCAACATTATATTTTTATTTTTTTTGACATTTGTTGAGTCAGAATCCACTAGTAATATTTAGTGCAATCAACTTAAATGTTATGCATACCACTGTTGATAAACAAACTTGGATGAATACTTGTGCATTTTATTACTGTGCAGTAATTGCATCAGAATTTGTTATTTATTGTATAAATGAGGTATTCAAAATTTTACATGATAGAACAGGTTTTTGGGATACGAGTGCCGTCAGTCAATCTGTAGACTTTTACCATATTGACTCCCTTCCAAGACTCTCACGTCAACCGTTTTGTGTTTACATTAATAGGAACAACTCAGATTCTTAAGATTGTCCTGTTATAAAAAGTAAAAACAAACAAGAGATTGAATTTAAACAACATTCTGTTAAATTTCTTCTCATAATCCTCCTGTTTTGATAACTCCCTTTTTTTATTTGCGTTTATTTTCCAATACGGAAAATCAGAATTAAGCAGTATTTATATTTAGGGTTTTATATATTTAGAATCATGTCAGAGAGGGAATTCTGTAACCCGAATAATCCAGTCGTCATATAACAATCACTTCGATCACTCCATTAACGCTGGTCAACCGGAAATTAAAAATATGCTGCACCATGGGATCAATGTCTCCTGATGTATGGCGTGAAAAAAGGAGGAGTTTAAAATTGTTTGTAAACATGTGCAATGGAGCACGAAACATGTTTTCAATGTACACACATGTTTGAACAGGAGAATTTAGCGAAGGAATGCAGACGAAATATTCAGAAGATTCACGGTGAAATCGATATAACTATTAGAAATTTTGAAGTCAATTTACGGTGGTGTTGAACTGCATGGTGGTTTTGAACAAGAATGTTTTGTTTGCAGTAAGAAGTGCCATAATGTCATACAGGGCATCCCGAATAATCCAGTCTTTATATTATGATCACTTTGATCACTCCATTAATTTGAATTTTCCAAATTTCATAGAATTTTATTGTACTACCTGGATAGGCTAAATTTGATCAAAAGGGCAAAATTTTGAAGGAAAAACAAATTGTAATATAATTCTTTTAGTATTTTACTGAGAAATTAAAATGTACTCAGTTATTTGTAATGGGGCAAAGTAATTTAGACATCAATGAACATGATGAATAGCTTTTTTTTTAACAAGACATCAATGAATACTCAGTCATCAAAATTTCTTTAAACATCTTTAATGTATTAAGGTGGTACCCAACACCTTCACTAAAATTGATTTGGCTCGTTTAATTTTCATAAAATTTTGACAAAGTATTTACTTTGACCCTTTGACAAAAATATAAAAATTTCAAAAAATTTGAACCAACCAATTTATCAGAAAAATTAGACTGGTTATATAGCAGTTTGACAAACACTAACTTTGATCATTGAGAAGCTTAATATTCCCTTAACAACACAACGTAATTAAAACGTTTAGCTGATTTTACTCCCTTTTACTTGAGTTATCTCCCTGTAGTGTTAGGTACCACCTTAAATGAACAGTGGACATAATCAAGAAATGCATTGGAAGAAAAAGGTTGATTATTTCATACTGACAGAAGATACAGAAGCATAAGTAGCAAAATCTCATGTACAAAAAATGTATGGAACTTATAATTTGGTACGCTAGAAATGCTACTTAAAACTCATTAGTGGCATATGAATCAAAACAGTAAGAAAGTCAATCAAATACAAAGTTGAAAGTTGAAGAACATAAAAAACAGGGTTTAGTTTAATCCATTAGATTTTTTTTGTTAAATTGAGATACCGTTTTCCAAAAAGCTTTTCATTCATGATAGAATTTACAATCTTGCGCGAGATCATCATTTAAATGTGTGCAATTTTGGAAGACGTCTAGGATTTTTACATTTTGGGCTATTTGAATCCTAAACCAAAAGAAAGAACCCATTGACTTTTGTGTGCTTGTACAAATATATATTTTTGACACTTAGTATGTGGGATTACACTTAGTATGTGGGATTGATAACATTTAGAAGGAATCTATACTACTAAAGGAAGAGACTGATTTCATTGAGTCCCAAATCCTCTGAAACCATACAAAGTCGGAAATATTTGTGATATCATGTATAAATCTAGTGTTTTGTTCTTCCTAAATTTGTCTTTGAAACACTTGTTTTTCCACAGAAAATGCCAATTTTTGAGAAAATATCCAAATTTCGGAGACCGTTATCAATCTTTGTCTTATACACTGTCCTGCATGCTCAATTGACGTACTGCACGCGAAATCTAACTAATATAGGACAATGGTGTTGATTGAAAATTACGACATTCCAGGCCCGATCCCAATAGTACCTGTTACCTGTTGCATAATCTGTACTTTCCGACTGTCAGGTGCACCACCAAACGGTGTATATAGGATCAAAATCACACCTGAACTTTGTCATTATACTGACTAATATCAATGAAAACAATGGCAATCGTATCCCTCAGAGCAATCATGCTCTTTGATTTAGTGGAATGGATAAATACTTTTTTTTTAAATCACATAAAAATAGAATGCAAATTTGGCTAGACAACCCACCTCCCCCTTTTTTCCGGGTGAAGATCACCTTGAGTCGTCTTTCTATGTCTGGTTGTTTTGAGATTGTTTTTTACTTATACTCTTTTTTTCGACAGTCCATTTTATGTAAATAAATGGAACAAGAATATAGTCACATGATAGTGAGAGTCAATCCTATACTTAACATATGGATTACGAAACTCACATGCAATATACAAATGTATAATTGTTACCTGAATTTTATTAGTCCCCTTCCGACGAAGTCGAAGGGGACTTTAGGTTTGCACTCTCTCCGTCTGTCCATCCGTCAGTCCTGCAAATCATCTTTCCACACTTTTTTTCTTCGTTCTTGAAGATATTGATTTGATATTTGGTATATAGTTTTGCCATGACAAGTTATAGATCAAGTTCGAATTTTGTTCGGGTCTGATGATTTAGTCCAGAGTTATGGACCATAACTCTGGACCATATCTAATGTTAGAGTACTATGTTAAACCATATTTCTGTACAAAGGGAGATAACTCATTTTTTTAAATACATTCTTTGGTAAATTATTTGAAGAATTTTTTGTCAGGTTTGTTTGTTATTTTGTATAAACTAATTTTCTGAATGCTATATATATATATATATATATATATATAAAATTATGAAGTGAAATCCTTTAATTAGATAATAATCTATTTTTATTAATGTATAATTATATTACATTACATTGTGTAGATAAAAATTGTTGACATTTTATAGATAAGTTACAAATCTATATAAGTTTGTGACAAATAAAAGAAAAAATATTTGGAACTATTAATTATATTTGATTATAATTTGAAAATAGATATACACTGTAATACATCATATCTAAATTTAGAGAACTATTAATCATATCTAATGTTAAAGTGTTTTCCACACTTTTTTTCATCATGCTTGAAGATATTGATTGATAATTGGTATATAGTTTTAACTTGACAAGTTATACAGATCAAGTTCGAAATTTTGTTTCAGTCTGATAATTTTGTGCAGAGTTATGGTCCTTTGACTTGAAAAATTCACTCATTTAATCAGTTTTCCACACTGTTTTTAGTCATGCTTGAAGATATTGACTTGATATTTTCTTTTTGTTTACACCATGACAAGTTATAGAACAAGTTAGCTTTTTGTTCCAGTATAATAAATTTTTACCCGGAAGGGGACTATGTATTGCCATGCAATACTCTCAGAATGCTTGTTATATATGTAACATATTATATATAAATCAATTTCTTGTGTAATGTTTAGCAAATAACTAAAGATTGTGAATTTAATTGTTATGCTTAAAGCCATAGAGTTAAGCCAATTAGCCTGATTACTGTTATAATATTGTTGAGAGGCAAAAACAATGAAATGAATGAATTTTTGATGGATAGTCAGACTAAATCAATGAAGAAAGTAGTTATGGGATGTATATCATGTAGATATAGATATATATCAATAGGTTAAGTATTGATAAAGTCATTGACACATATAAATAGAATTATATTTCACTTGAATCAGTAGTTGAGGGAGTCACAGATAAGTGAAAGGATATTAATTTGTTACAGATAAACAATGACAGAGCTCGCTAGTTCACCTGTTAAACGTCCACGTGAAAATAATAAATTGAATGGGAGTACAATTACTGAAGGAACTATCAAGATGTACAAGAGGGATCCTGCCCACAGGTATGTTGATGCTAAATGGATCAAATAAAAATTACAAACATTATTTAAGTGCTAGCAGTCAGGGAAAATAAATATTTCTTTATTCAGGAACAGCTGGGAGGTAAATGCATGCATATAGACATGTACATGTAGATAAGTACATATATTTCATTGATTGGGGTTAATACTCCCAACGAAATGAATTAAAACTCCTCTGTAAATTAAATAAAATTTCATTTAATAAAAGTTACAATAGGTCCGAGTACACAGTTATTTCGTAGTGCATTTCTTTTAGACAATAAATGAAAATTAAAAAAAATCCCACCTGCGCTTTCTCAATAATATTTTTACAGTGTGTTGTACTACTTTTGGGACAAATTATATCAAAATTATAGAAAACTTCATCGGCTCTAACTCAAAATATGGACAATTTTATGTTAAGGGGGTCTTGAAATCTTTTGACAGCTTCCGGAGTGCTAATTTTTAACCTTTTTCAGCTGGACCAAATCACTACTTTACTTTAAAATTCATGACCCAAATTTTTTTACAGTGTCATTTCACCCCCTAACTTGCTATTTGAGGCATAAAACATGGAGAAATAAATTTGGAAGGGGTATAAAAAAAATTGGCAAGTAACACACTGTCCACACTAAGGACTATATTCGTGGACAACGAAAATCAAAGGACAATAACTGTGTACTCGGACCTAATAGGATAGAAAAAGTTGACCAATCTTAATAAAACTTGGTATGATCAAAGCTTAATAAATTATAAGGCTGCTTACAAAGATTCATTGCAATAGGATATATATTATAGACAATATGATTAATTCTATATTCAACTTTGCATGTTAAATTTAGACGTTAAAATTGAAAAATTTCAACTATCAACATTTGGGGCTTTTAAAATTCAAATTTAGCAAAAAAATACTTTTAAAAAGCCTTAATATATAATATATCATGTATTAAAAGCAATAGAGTACTCATTTGATACATCAGACTTAGCATAATTATTCAAAAGTCAAATCTATATGAGCCTGTGCCTAAAAATTGAGGTTTTCCAATGAAGGGGGGCCTTACATGAAGATGTAATATTTTCCAGCAATTTTAAATTTGTGAAGCTTTTTGGTTATAAATAATCCTTACATATGTATTTAATGTACTTTAAATGGAAAGAAAACTTACAAATAACATATCATATTAGTTTAAAAGGGTCTTAGGCCAAGTAAGACTGAAAATAATTTAGGGTCAATTTAGGCCGTAGCACATATTTACATTTAAAAATGCATATTGAAGCTATAGGAAATAAAAATTTGTGTCTTTTCTATCATTTCTATACTCAAGTGACATGATGCAATAAATCTGAGCACAAAAAGACTCTTGCATTCAACTTTTTGTGCAGACAGTATGGTCTGATACAAAGATTTTTCACTTTTTAGTGAAAAACTTGCATGCAATTTTAGTCTCAACAGGCTTATATTTGAACCACATGCTATCCTACAGAAGAAAAGAAAGATATTATGTGAAATGAAACAGGTACAACAGACATTGTTGAGTTCTTTTTATACAAATTTAGTGAGGCATTTATTATGGACTTCAACTTTTATGTACCAAGCTCCTCACATTTAACTTGATCCAAACAGGGCGTTAGACGAGGGTCATTTATACAACACATTTTGCACATATTGTCTGAGATAATCTTCTTTTCTGTAGATTCAGAGTTCACAAATGAGTAACACAACTGGATTAAAGCATAGAAACACAAATATTGACACATGAAAACCTGTCAGATAGAAAGTCAGAATGCAAATTATGCATCAAAATTGAAAAAGCTATGAAATGCTTATTTTGACCATATAATGCCAAAATTGGTAATTTTTGCAGAAATTCTATCAAATAAAAGTTTAAATCCTTTAGTTTTATGCTATTTGACAAATTGACACCATCAAATCATTCAGGGAAGTTGCCAAAGTACAGATTCTATATTTCCTGATTTGACCTCTTAGGTCCGAGTACACAGTTATTTCGTAGTGCATTTCTTTTAGACAATAAATTAAAATTAAAAAAATCCCACCTGCGCTTTCTCAATAATATTTTTACAGTGTGTTGTACTACTTTTGGGACAAATTATATCAAAATTATAGAAAACTTCATCGGCTCTAACTCAAAATATGGACAATTTTATGTTAAGGGGGTCTTGAAATCTTTTGACAGCTTCCGAAGTGCTAATTTTTAACCTTTTTCAGCTGGACCAAATCACTACTTTACTTTAAAATTCATGACCCAAATTTTTTTACAGTGTCATTTCACCCCTTAACTTGCTATTTGAGGCATAAAACATGGAGAAATAAATTTGGAAGGGGTATAAAAAAAATTGGCAAGTAACACACTGTCCACACTAAGGACTCTATTCGTGGACAACGAAAATCAAAGGACAATAACTGTGTACTCGGACCAATAGTTTTTACTCCGGTTTTGGACCCTTGAGAAAGTAATATTGATTATGTTTTTGTCGTATTCCATGAACTATTCAAAAGTCTTCTGACAAATCTACATTTGAAACATGGGAAAATGTGTGAAAGAAAATGAGACAAATTGCCATGAAATATCATAAGAAATTAAACATATCAAACAGTGCTTTAATTGCTGTCCTTCATCTTGACAGTAGCAAGAAAGTCTTAAATGTATGATGAGAGAAGAACTCATAGCTAACAGCAAGGTCAAGATCACTACTAGCTGTATAAAATTTAGTTAATCTGTAATCTTTTGAAGGGGTCTATCATGTATATATGCTGGAATTACAAAATTGGTCAAGTCGACTACAAATTCTATCATTCTTTGTCCAGTTAGAACTTCTTGTAGAAATGGTTTGTAAGGAAATGGTCAAAAGATCAAATTTCCTTCAAATTTCATGAAATTATAACACAGTTTGATTTATTTGTAATTAATCTATTAATCTACCCACCTTTTGATATATATATATATATATATATATATATATATATATATATATATATATTGGATAAGTATCTGAAAATTGTTTTATCTTGCCTTGACATGAGGTGACTGTTTATCAGGTGTGAATCATACTGATATTTTCTTTATATACATTGTAACATAGAGAGATATAAGTAAAGATCCACAGCATGTCTATAGAGAGATATAAGTAGTAACAAAAATTAAACACATTTATAATTGTAGCATTCCAGTGTATTTTAAGAATTAGAATCTAAAAAAGCAATAATGTGATGTAATACATACAAATTTACATATAAAACTCATATCTTGTCAGTTATTTCATTAATATTGGCAAAGATTGAATTTATATTGATAAAAATGATTAAATATTTGTTTTTTGCATACCCCGTCTACAAATAGTAAGCAGTGGCGGATCCAGAAATTTTCATAAGAGGCGCTCCAGTCATGCTTCAGTGATTCCCTATATAATCAACCAAATTTTTTCTACAAAAGGGGGGGCAGGGCCCCTGAAAAACCCTCTAAATCTGCCTCTGGTAAGGGATATTATGCTTATCCATCAGTCCTTAAAAATGTAAAAGTACATGTATTGACTTTAAAAGCAAAATATTAAGCATCATTTTCATGATATTGAAGATTAATGTTTTCTAATAAAATTTGAAATAAAAGATTATTTTGAGATAGATTATGATTAATAATTAAAAAGAAGTTTGCTTGATATTAATGTTCAGAAATTTGAACAATATATACATGTATGAAGTAAAAGAAACTGCTTCTGAATAATCAGAAAAATAAATAATAGTCCAAGATAACAAATCTTGATAAAAAGGTTTTATCATATATAAAAATAAGTTGTGGTATGATTGTCAATGTGACAAATCTCAACCAGAGACCAAATGACTTAGAGGGTTAACAACTGTAGGTTACCGTAAGGCATTCAACATTGAGGAAATCCATACCGCATAGCAAGCTATAAATGCCCCGATATGACAAATGTAAAACACTTCAAATGAGAAAACTAACGGCCTGATTTATGTAAAAAATAATAAAGAAAAACAAATATGGCATACAGCATCAAACTACAACCACTGAATTACATGCTCCTGACATGGGACAGGCATATACAGAATGTTGCAGAGTTAATATGGCCTGCCAACCCTCCCTTACCTGGGACAGTGGTGTAACAGCACAAAATATGCATATGCATGTAATTTATATCTCACATTTGATTTTTGGATAAAATAAGAATTATGAAAAAAGGAGATGTGGGTATACATGTACATGAATGAAACAGCAATGGAACAACACACCAAAAAAATCTAAGAATTAGAATACAGTCCTCAACAATGATAAACAGGTTTCTGTACAGACCAGAGTCTTAAAAAGTTTTGTATAAATTTAACAGTGATGATCAAAGATCTGCCATCAACACCGTATTCCCTAACTACAAAAAAACCTAAAAGATATGTCTTATAGACCACCATTGATCATCAATGTCATCAGATGTGGTTCTTAACTTGGGGAAACCTTGGTGAGCTGCAAACAATTTGTCCCCCACGTGACTTGTTGCGGGGGACATAGAATTACTGGGCGTCTGTCCTTCCTTCTGGTCTTGTTAACGGTCTCATGTATACAATTCTTGCCAGGTTTTTATACGACCGCAAAAAAATTTTGTGGTCGTATATTGGTATGACGTTGGCGTCGTCGTCGTCGTCGTCTGAAGACACAATGGTTTTCGCACTCTAACTTTAGTTTAAGTGAATGGATCTTTTTGAAATTTGACCATAAGGTTAAATACCACAAAAGGAAGGTTGGGATTGATTTTGGGGGTTATGGTACCAACAGTTAAGGAATTAGGGGCCAAAAAGGGGCCAAAAATAAGCATTTTCTAGTTTCCAGACAATAACTGTGGAACGGTGTATGGATCTTTCTGAAATTATACTACAAATTTCCATACCACAAAGGGATGGTTAGGATTTGCTTTGGGGGGTTATGGCTCAAACCGTTTAGGAATTAGGGGCAAAAAAGGGGGAAAAACAAGGTTGT